TGTATTAATATATATATATAAATAGAGAGATATATATATATATAGATTTATATATGTATGTATGTATGTATGTATGTATGTGTGTGTGTATAATTATATATAGTTATATAAATGAATATATAGATATATATATACATGTATATACATGTATATATACATATACATATACATATGTATATATATATTCACATATACATATACATATACTTATATACATACATGTACACATACATATATACATACATACATGCATATATATATATATATATATATATATATATATATATATATATATATATATCACTACAACGTACGGAAGTGTGTAGCAAATTGAAAATAGTACATTATAGTAACTCGTGGCTATATAAGCATACTCACATTTGCATCGTCCACGGACTGCATGGTACTGATGAACATTGGAATACATGTGTCCGCATCCTGAGTGTATTGACCGAAGGCTACTTCTGCTTGGTGACGAATCTCATCGTTCGCCTCATTTAAGCCGAGAAGCGTGCGCGCAAAGCCTTCCATGGCGATAAATTTATCGCTATATCTGGTGCTGTATTTACAATCGAGTACGGTCTTCGTGTATCTCTGCTCGATTTATATAAGTGAAGTCGCTCTTAATATTGCTAGGTCTCTGTAATCGAGCTTCTTCGAACGATACACAGTGGTATCAGGTACGTATGATGTCGCGACGTTCAAGTTTACAAAGTGTATTCTGGGTATACATATATTGAATTGCGACGCGAATGGGATTGGGATTTGGGAGTCACATGTATTATTCTATTTTTAGCACATGCCAAGGTCAACTTGTTCTATTGTTGTCACTCATGACTCACCGTGCTACCTCAAATCGTTATACGCTAATACGTTTAGTGCAATTACGTTATACTTTTACACATACATTACAAATGAGCTGATTTGATTACGTCGTACAGGTTTCCAGTCCACATAAACATTAAAAACGGGATATACCAAAAACAAATACACGTTTACACTTTACTATCGTATGAGTGAAACCCTTTTTTTTAAATTACACGAGTCCAATGGCCATGACGTATTGACGGTTTAAAATAAACTAAAATAGTGTTTTATTTTGTTTTGTAAAAAAAAAAGGTACTGTGAAGTCCCTGGACCCTGGCAGCCTGGCTCCCTGCGAATGCCCTCGTAGTGGCTCCTACTCGTGAATAAATAGATCCCGAGTTTCTGATGGAATCAAATTTTAATTTTATCAACGATGAAGCAGTGTGTGAAACAACTGTGTTTATTTTTTAAACACACAATCAAGCGACCGAACTCAATACCAGTGCAATGACTATCACACCATCTCTGTTTATATCACCGCCTCCTAAAAAGATAGTAAAATCTTTTAGGAGGCTACGGCTACATACCATTGTATTTTTTTTCCAAAGAATATCGTTTACCGCCGAGACTCTTCGAGTAATAAAAGTAACCTCGCCGTTGTCAGATGCTCTCTAAGGCATGCATCAGTCGGCTCGGAATCAGAGCTCCAACGTATAATCAAGTAGTGTTGCGTTGTTTGTATTCTGTATAGCCAAGAGTTCAAGACTGTCATATTATAGTACCTATAAAACTGTACATGATGGCAATATCATAAGTTGTAATTATAGTAATTTATTCCATTTACACGGTAGCGCAGGCAACATAGGTCATTGCCCACGATTAATATGAGTAGCAATCCTTACAGAAAACAAAACTATGACACAGAGGCTGAAAGGATAGTGCGGAAACAAGATGTGCTTGCACGTGCGGCGTCCCACGACGAACTAGCTGTTGCTCATACATTAGAAAATAAACCGACACTTTCTGCCATATCACAGGTACACATCATTGTCCTCATACATAGTTTGTCTTGAACAGTGTGTGCCATTATATTATATACTTCTATTACACACACACACACACACACACACACACACACACACACACACACACACACACACACACATATA